AGGTACCACTGGTGGAGGTACTACTTGCGTTGTTGTCACGTGTTTACCTCGTGAGTGTGATGAATGTTGGGGAGCAGCAATGACAGGTACACATGTGTCATGCCGTTGTAGTGAAACCTGTCTTGATGGGATAGCATCCAAACTGGACACGGTTGATTTTGAGTCGTAACTAAATGTCCTGGTTTGTGAGGATGAGCTAAAATCGTCCAGGTGCCCTGTACTCATTGTACTGGAAGTTGGTGGTGGCGAAACCACGGTAGGGATTGAATCCTCTGTGATTTGATGGGCTTCTTCAATTGGATCACTTTCATTTTTTAATAAAATTTCAGATTTCTCAAAAACATTCAGAAGTTCTCCCTTAGAATTAAAAACGTGTGTCTTTGTTTTTAGTGTTACTGTGTGGGTCATGATAACGGTTCTTCTCTCAACATCTGGGCAAACTGCCGGTTGTTTTGGTGCAACACTAACAGAACCATCCTGTAAAACAGTGTCAGAAAAATTAACTGTTGATCTCTTCCTAATATTTCGACGGTCAATATGACCAGCTGTATTAGTCACACTTTGGGGTTGAAGTTTAAGAATCGTATTTGCGTCTGAGTTTGTGGATCGCACATTCTCAGATTTAGTTCCAACAACAGTAGGGCTAAACTGACCAGGTTCTCTTACATATGTTGACACATGCTGACCAGCAGTCGGCTGGTCGTGAGCAGCATCATGACCAAATGGCATCTTGGATTTCCTTTTTGACCGTCGCCTCTTGGGGTGTTGTGGTTGTCCATTTCTTTGAGAAATGTAATTTTTCTTGGCACAGCATACCTGCTCTGTGTGACCTCTACGACTACACCAACGACATAACACATCCGTGCGTGTAGGTTGTCGCTTGCGCTTATGTCGTTGCTGCGGTGTAGGTGCTGGTGTAGACTCGGTAAACGGGACGTCCCGGTCCCTTTCAGGCCTATACGATGGAGGGTGATACCTTTCTTCCCATGCTGCTACTTGATGGTCGATACGAGCCATAAGTTGTGTTGTCAGCTGGGTCAGGTAAGGTGACGGTGATGCTGAGAGCTGGGCGGTGGCGACATCAGAAATGTACTCACGCATCCACCGTTGTGCTTCCCTACGGACGTCATCAAATGAGCGGCTAGTGTGTAGCCTTGCGTAGGCCTTGACATCTCTGCGTAGTGTGGGTGGTTGGAGACCTTGGATGAATACGTCACGCAGTATGTCTTCTGGGAGAATGCCAGGTCGTGCAGAATTAGCTAACATGAAGATGTTGCGCAATTCTTTCGCATAGTCCTCGACAGTTTCCCCAAGGTATTGTTGTCTACGGTAGAATGCGGCCGCTAGAGTTGTGACGTCACGATGATCACCCCAGTTCTGCAAAATCAAGTGCAGTAGTTTATCTGGAGTGTCTATCGTAGCAACAGCTTGGTCCAAAATGTCCTGACGAGCACGTCCCTCCAGGGCACCTATTATCCAGATGACCGCTGAGGTTGCGGGCATCGGCTGAAGTTGCAGGAATAACCTTACTTCCTTCACAAACTGCTCTGCATTGCACTCGCCATTAAATTTAGACAGCTTGGGTGGACTGTTGGCTAGGTGAAACTGATCTACTGCACTTTTCTCCATCGGTCGGTCTAAGTGTGTTCTGTCTATGATTGTGTTACCTTTTCTTTAAAGCTGTCCTCAAAGAATCCTGCCGACAACGCCAAAACTGTAGCCGAGTGGATGACGTAGCTTACAGTATAAAATAAAACAATCAGGTCTGAGAACTATAGCTTTTAATGTAATAGGTACAATCCGTTGACAGAGCCGACAGGAAAATCTCTCACACATGCCGCGCCGACCCGACGCATCCGTTCCACACCACAATCTAACAAAATAATGTACACACCTCAAGTCCCAGTTCGCCCCCCCTCCCCCCCACACACACACACAGTCACAGGGAACCCGCGTCCGAGCTGACCATTGGTCAACCCCGGAGCAGGGATGGTTATTCCCGCGTGTAAATAACCTACATAAAATTTAAGGCCTGTACACGGCTGAGTGTTACGTTGAATGACCATGGATAATGGATGTGTACGTGCTTGGGGTTACCCATAGCAGTCACACTATGACTATGCGAGTGGATTCTCTTATATAGTGGCACATTGCCACATCCACCCCAACTGTTTAAATCCCAGCGTCCCCGCTGGGCCTACTACTTTGTAATAAAAATTTAGAGAACGATCAAATATTTAAAAACAAATTAAAACACTTAGCATAAACAACAACTAGGACTAGTGTCTTTTTGTGCCACTGCCTTATTTCCGTTTCTCTCGATTTGCGATGATAAGTGATCTGCGAGGTACTACTGGTGGAGGTACTACTGGTGGAGGTACTACTGGTGGAGGTACTATTGGTGGAGGTACTACTGGTGGAGGTACTATTGGTGGAGGTACCACTGGTGGAGGTACTACTTGCGTTGTTGTCACGTGTTTACCTCGTGAGTGTGATGAATGTTGGGGAGCAGCAATGACAGGTACACATGTGTCATGCCGTTGTAGTGAAACCTGTCTTGATGGGATAGCATCCAAACTGGACACGGTTGATTTTGAGTCGTAACTAAATGTCCTGGTTTGTGAGGATGAGCTAAAATCGTCCAGGTGCCCTGTACTCATTGTACTGGAAGTTGGTGGTGGCGAAACCACGGTAGGGATTGAATCCTCTGTGATTTGATGGGCTTCTTCAATTGGATCACTTTCATTTTTTAATAAAATTTCAGATTTCTCAAAAACATTCAGAAGTTCTCCCTTAGAATTAAAAACGTGTGTCTTTGTTTTTAGTGTTACTGTGTGGGTCATGATAACGGTTCTTCTCTCAACATCTGGGCAAACTGCCGGTTGTTTTGGTGCAACACTAACAGAACCATCCTGTAAAACAGTGTCAGAAAAATTAACTGTTGATCTCTTCCTAATATTTCGACGGTCAATATGACCAGCTGTATTAGTCACACTTTGGGGTTGAAGTTTTTGTAGCCGAGTGGATGACGTAGCTTACAGTATAAAATAAAACAATCAGGTCTGAGAACTATAGCTTTTAATGTAATAGGTACAATCCGTTGACAGAGCCGACAGGAAAATCTCTCACACATGCCGCGCCGACCCGACGCATCCGTTCCACACCACAATCTAACAAAATAATGTACACACCTCAAGTCCCAGTTCGCCCCCCCTCCCCCCCACACACACACACAGTCACAGGGAACCCGCGTCCGAGCTGACCATTGGTCAACCCCGGAGCAGGGATGGTTATTCCCGCGTGTAAATAACCTACATAAAATTTAAGGCCTGTACACGGCTGAGTGTTACGTTGAATGACCATGGATAATGGATGTGTACGTGCTTGGGGTTACCCATAGCAGTCACACTATGACTATGCGAGTGGATTCTCTTATATAGTGGCACATTGCCACATAATACTTAAAAACTTAATGTCCTCTGTGGAACTGCAAAGGGTACTGGTATTATAAAGGAATAAAGGGAATTTTTAAAGAAAAAAAGGTAAAACCAAGAAAGTTAACATAGCTTTAATGTATTCCCACAAGAATATAAAAGAAAGTTCTACTTAAAAAGTGGATCCAGAATACTGGTGTAGTAAATTGTCAGTAAAAAAAAATATTTTTTGTTTCTGATTGTTAAAATTAAAAAAAAAAACATTTAAAAAAAAATATTTAATATATTTCAAAATCTTAAAAATATTAAATTACAAATGTTAATGTAACACAAAAAAATTGCCAGTTCTTGACATTGGAGAAGAAAAGAATTAATTAAGGATAGAATAGATTTTCTATTAATATTTTTGTTAAAATATTGCTATATATTTTATTTTTGTGTTATTGAAATAGCGAATATTACATTGCTAAAACAAACTGCAATTTTAGCTATTATTTTTGCTGAACACATATTATATTTATAAAATATTTTCTTGTCATTATGTTCAACTTATTCATCATTTGAAATTTCACCAACTTATTTTATTTATGATTTTTATGTTTATCTAGTTATGTCCCGTGAGACTTTTAACACTGTTTTAATATCAACTTACTGAAACTTGCTGCTGCTCTCAAAAAAAGCTTAAACTTTTCTTGCCTTACCATTCAAAATGTTCATTTATTTCATCAGTCTGCAAAGCTTGAAGGCAGCGATTTGAAAGCCAAAAACACAGTGAACCAAGCTTTGGATGACATGGCCAAAGTGCTATCACACAAACAAGCAAACAGCAGTGCCTTGGCAGCAGTAATTGAAATAAGGCTAGAAACAGCTGTTAATGAAGAGGAAAACCAAGGTCTGAGTTTGTTCCAGATTCATGGCAAAGTTTTAGCATAATTGGCTAATTAGGTCCAAGGGGACTAAACCATTCATTTTTTTTCTCATTCAGTGCATCTGTGTTTTTTAGGACTGGAGTAAGGGTGGGTGGATGGGGAAAGTGACAAAATAATGATCTTTTCACAAATTGCTTAATTATTGATTAAATAAATTTATTTCCATTAAATATTTTTATTAGTTACAATCAAAGGAAACATCATATCAGGTACTTAAGCTTTGTCTGAAAGATAAATTAATTACAATATTTTTATGACACTAAGTCTTTTGAAATTATGCTTTTTAATCTCAAGTTAGGGTTTCACACCATCGTCTGTATCACTTAAATTTGTATGAATATAATTTTTGCTACAAAATATCTGTTAGTTTCACTAATATTTGCTGTATTTATAAATAGAAACTTTCTATTTGAAATCCACAGAGCCAACCTACCTGGTCCCTGTGCTTTGTTCTGTGATTGCACTCTTAGGAATAGCATGTGTAGGCATCCTCATCATATGGCATCGACGTGTGCAGAGGAGAAGACGGCACCTTCGTGATGAATATCTGGCCAGCACTCAAACAGCAGCTAACAACGAGAATCAGGACAACATTAGGCGTTACCGCAATCCTCTCTTCTCCTCCAGTGACAAAAGGGGAATTCCAAAAGCGGTGCCCACTGAGGAACTGCATGATATTGATATGGAGAAATATGACAAAAATCCCAGGCGCTTTCTTGCTCAAGATGACTCGTCTTCTCCTGATCTCAATGATATCCAAGAGTACAGGCCCCAGCCCAAGAAGAACAACAAGAAAGACATAAACATTCAGTTATCAAGATCACTGTTGGATGAGCCAGAGGTTATTGTTTAACATGTCATTTACCCCATAAGGCTCATTTTACCAATTTGTTCATACTAGCATGATTGAGCTTAATGGGAAAAACTTGAGTAATAAATGTAGGCCTATTCATGATCAGATCTTCTGAAAGTGTCAAACTAATCAGGAAATACATCAAACTGATCAGGAAATAAGTCAAACTGATCAAGAAATATGTCAAAATGATCAGGAAATATGTCTAACTGATCAGAAACAGCAAGCTTTGAAAAGCTTTGTTAAAAATTTGGAAATGAAGTGACAATTATCATATTCTGTGTGCAGACAATAAAAACTTTTATAGAGATTTATTTACATTTATGCTTCAACGTGGCATGTAGCAGCTTTGCATTTATCTGTATGCCAAGTGGAAATGGATTTCTTCCGTGAAACACTTCTGAATCATTGTTTTATTTGGATTGCACTTAATAAAATGTTTATGACTGACAAAAATAATTTTGTAATCAGTGGAGAAAAATACAATTGTAACTACTTGTCAAACAGAGGCAGCCAATTAATCGATATATCTAATTGAACAGAATGCTGATCTTCAGCTAAACTGACTTTTATAAAACTGTTTATTCATCAGACATAAACCTGCTAAAAACATGAACGTTTTTACGTGAATGATAACATTTTACTGCATTTAAAACTACAATGGATCAATCAACATGTATCTGAGCAAGCATTCATGTGCTTCAAAAAGGCACCCATCTATTTACTTATTTAACTGAAGGATGACGCAAATTAGTTGACTTATTTGCCTGTTTCATTTGCTGGATACTGTCAGTTTCTGGTAGCTGCTTCATGGTCGTTTGTGTTCTGAGCAAGTTTCATCAATCTGGTCCACCAATCCTTGCCTGCTAAACAGTTTTTACTGATCCTCTTTCTTTGATGTTTTGGTCTATTTTGATTTGTTTAAAAACAATGGACTGCAACATTTCTGGATAGACAAGTTGTTGGACACAGTCCATTCTCAAAGTATTTTTTTAAATATTCAACTTGGAAGTTGTTTGTGTTGTATTTTACATTACGAACTTGTGCCAAATACAGTAAATTAGTAACAATCTAAGAGCAGCCAAACTTGTATGTTACTTAATGCATATTTTCATAAATTGAAAAATGTGTGTACAAGGAATGATACAATTTAGTTACTCGAAATCAATTTAAGCAAGCATGAGGAAACTAAAAACAACAGAATGAATTTAACTGCAAATAAACCTTTAGTTCTTCAAAAATGTAATAATTCAGCAAAGCAAATAAAAGAAAAATGTGAAAAATCAAATTAATTTTAATTGGATTTGTTTAGTAAAAATGATTGGATGCTATATAAATAAATTGTTTTAATTAAGTTGTTACCAAACTAGTATGAAAAAGTTTAAAGTAAAATTCACTATAGGCCTATTTCATTATTGTATATCTGTCATGTGGACCTTATTAGTTTTCAATACAAGTAAATGTGTTTCCTGTAAGTAGCTTTTCAGCATTTCATGCAGGCTTATTAAGTTAACTTAAAGTGTCTCAGAAATTTAGTGTACTGTTTTTAAGTCTTTCAAAATGTTATGCTATATTAATAAATTTTGTGAATTTTTTTTAAGAGTAATAAAATTTTTTATTGAAATCACAGGGAAAATTATATTTAAGTAGAATATCAGTTTGACAATAATAAACAAATAATTCTGAGCCAAATTTCATAAATCTTGATTAATTTGTTTGCAATTTATTAAATAATTTATTGCAAAGTTGTTCATAGTGAATACAGCATATAGCTTCTTGCAGCAATGAATGTGGCACACTTTAAAATATCTAAATCTTTGACCTGAAATTATTTAGAAATAGTTTTTAGGTGCTCACAATTATTTTCTTTGAGATTCTTCTCATAGTATACCAAAATTTATATAAATATGTATAAGTCAAATAATTGTAATTAAAAAAGAGGATTTACATGTTTCTAAAAAAATCCATCAATTAAAATTGCAAAATTCATTATGTGAATGGCCAGTCTTTAAAGCATTCTTCTATTCAACGTTTTTTATTAAATAGAATGTTGCATTACATTTACACTGTCCTGTTAGCATGGATTATTCCATTGTTTTTTTAACCAAAGGCATGTAGAATCAGCTTCTTGACAACTAACTAATTTAATGCATTTTTTTAAAAATGTAAATGTTTTTATGTCTTGTGTTCCTATGTTTATTAAAGAAAATACATAGCAAATATATGAACCTTGTTTAAATATATTTTCTTGATGATTAAAATTAATAGATAGGAATTTGTTAAAATTTAGTAAGCCGTAAGGTATTGCAATTTATTTTTTAAAAAAAAATTTCTTTTAAATTAATTTCAAATAAATGAAATGATAACCACTCTCCTATCCATCACATGCCAAGAAATGCCAAGCTATTTGTAAATAGTGCATAAGAATAAAAAAATCATTTTATTATAAGCTTATTGTACGCACTAAGAAACTATATTTCAATTTATTTTCATGTAAACTTAAAACTCAAAGAAGTCCAGCATATTTATAGTTATAGATGGTATTTTTCATAATTTATGCAACATAAATCAAATTTATGTCTAATTATTATTAGTTAATTAGTCTTGCATTATGGCTTCACTGCTAGGAAACATTCTATATCAGAGGCATTTGTTACTAGCATTATTAAACACAAGGCTTAATTTTGAAAACCCACATGTAAGAACTGATATTCAACTGAAAGCCACAATTGCTTTGTACTGTGTATTTTTTAAACAATGGAACTTTGCAGCATTCAATGTTTAAATGTTGAATATTCACTTTAAATGCCATAGATTGAAAGAAATCATTTCACTGTATCAAGCATTCTACTTGGTCAGTAATCTCGATCTGTTGTAAATATTTTGAAAAACTATTTATTAATAAATTTTACATTTTTATGTTATTTTTATTAAATCTATGACAGTGTTATTTTTACGAAATTATTTTCTTTCCATTTAAACAAAAATGATGCATATATTTTACACAATCACTTTATTAAAGCAGCAGTTAAAACAAATTTAAAATGAAATAGATGATTTTAATGATATAAATAATTATGATATAATTTTTGTAGAAATTTAAATTATGTAGGAAACTCAACAATTATTTTTGCTTGATGATGCTTTTTGTACTTGCCTACAATTTGCATTAAAATCATATAAAGGCAACTATAATGATATTTCAAAAATTTACTTTTAATTATGGAAATGTTTAATTTTTTTTTTATATTTATTCAGATTTAAAGTTTAAGGGTTTTTAATTTTATATAAGCCATTTGGTAAATTTAAAAAAAAAAAAAAATTAAATAGGCCTACAATATTTTTATCTTCTAATAATTTGTTTTTTTAATTTTCTAAAGAGCAGCAACAATTTTACATCTATGTCTTAAAATGTGTGCTATTTATAATTCATTGTAAAACCACTCTTGCATTGCTTGATCTGGTAAAAGGCTGTTCTATGTTTCATTGTGATTATTACCACATAACATGTAATTTTTGTAAGATTTTTGTGGGGTTTTTTTCAAACTATCTGGCATATGAATTTCAGTAAAGGATAGCACCCAATACAAGACTAATGATATAATGTAAATTATATACCATTGATAGATAAACCATTGATCGACAATTATCTAATCTTGACTTTATTTAACATTAGTCAGGTTGTTCTAAAACAGGGGTCTCAAACTCAAATCATCTGGGGGCCGCAAGAGGTAGAGGCTGAGTGAGACTAGGCCGCATCAAGTATTCCACAAAAAAGTAATTACAAATTCAATAAAGTACAACTGTTACAATCTGCTCAACCTTTTTTAATAACAAATAAAAACATGAAGGGTTCTCAAGAGCTAGGCTTCACTTTCTTCCTCCTACTCCTTGTTGCCAGACATCTGGCAGCGCTTCATCTTACACAGCTGATCAACATTTGGCTTGAGTGAGGAAGCAACTGAGAACCTCAAGATATCATTAAAATGTGCATCAGTAAGTATGGCCCTGAACTTTGACTTATTAAAGTTCATAGTGGAAAAGAGCTTTTCACATAGATAGGTACTCCAGAAAAAGGCACATCTTCTTGAACAACCTAAATCTCAGTGGAGGGCAATGCTCTCATAAATTGTCCATGCTTGTCTGTTTTTCCATTCAACTCCCTCAACTTAAAAAAACTTAAAAATGCACTGAAGCTCCATTTAAAACACCAAAAAAAAAAGAGTGAGGGGGTGGTTTGGCATCTTCCACATTAAAGGAGAAAGTGTCAGCAAAAAGTTGAAAAGTGGCTCTGTTTGATTTGACGTCTTAAAAACCTGTGATCAAATTCTTCCTGTAGCTTTGCAATGGCATCAGTATACTAACTTCTGAATGCTGTGACCCAGTCCATGAGTACCGTACTTTGCATGTTGGGATATGGCAGAGGTTTCTCTATGAAACATAACACTAATGTTGTGCAAAATGCCCGGACATTGTCCAACACTGCCAAGCTGCCACTGGTCTTGTAACTTCTTGTTGAGTACATTCAGCTTCTGTGTAATGTCAACAAGAAAAGTCCAGTCCGTGAGCCATTTGGAATCACTTAGTACAGGAACAACCACCCTGTCCTTCTCCACGAAGGCTTTAAATGCTGTAACTTGTTTAAACAGTAGACAGGAGCAGGCAATTTTTATGAAATATTGATGCGAAGGAAATGCTAATGTAGAGAGAATGAATTTTGATTTTTTACTGTAGAAAAGGCCCTTTTTGACTAACCCTATTTTGAAAGTGATCAGGCTCGGAATTTCCCTCACTTGTAAACACTAGCGGCATTTCAATAGGGATTCTTTGATACTGTGTCAGGTTGCTAAGATTTACACAATTATGGTTGTGTGTTACCCACTCACTTTTTAAACTGTGCTCAAATTCCAACTCTTGCCATGTTTGTCTCATAAAATGCTGAAAATAAAATCTTTTAGTCTGATTTTAAGACAGTTTTTATCATTATAATCAACGTCAAAATCTATAACATAATAAAAATCTGAATTAGACTATGCAGTGAGATTTGACCTTATAGATATGAGAATGGGGAAGTTTGCTGTCGTGTAGTGGGCTGCAAAATATCATCTAGCGGGCCGCCAGTTTGAGACCCTTGTTTTAAAAGAAATTTTTGATTTTTAATTTAATTGCCACTGGAAATGAAAAGTTAGTTATAGCTGAACAACATATGTTCAATTTTGTTGCTTTTTTTTATTTAAAACTGTTGATGAAACAAGATCTTCTAAGTCAAAGTAAAAAAATTGGAAAGTCTGAACAAGCTTTAAAAAACTGGAAAAAATAAATTTATCTCAACCTTATGAATGAAATTATTGTTTCCAATTAATCAACATCTGCCATGTGATCAAAAAACAGATTAAATAATTCTTCAGAACTGATCTTTAATTATCAATATTACCTTAAATGGGTTTTATTTTAAACTTTTTTATTTTTTCAACAATTGTCATTTATGTTTATTTTGCAATCTCTGCAAAAAACATACTGTATTTTCATCCATGTATTTAATTAATTTAAATGTTTCTAATGTTGTATATTATTTTTATGTAGATAAAAACATGAAAAAAATGGCAAAAGGTATATAATAATATTTATAAACTGTCTGCAACATGTTAACTAACTAAAGAGTTTTGTTTTTCTTTGCTTTCTTTAAAAAATTGACCAAATTCTTTGCCTAGAAATTTAGTTGAAGTCAAATTTTTTTTTTATTTATTGAAGGCGTTATAGACTACAGTCATTAAAATTAAAGGTTGCTTGAACTTCCGTGTAACAAATTTTTATTTAAAAATTGTCAATTTAATTTTTGTATCTCTTCAAAATTTAATGCATAAATTTTTTTTTTAAATCACATTTGTCCATTTTATTTTCATTCTGCTCACTATTCATTGCCTTTTTATTGAAATAACTTACACTAAATCATTAGTGTTAGATGCTAACCACATGACCAAATCCAGTACTAGATTGGCAAATGTAGACGTCCTAACCCTAGCAATAAAATCCATGTAAATGTTCTTGAAGAAAGAATTGCAGTTTTATATTTTTTTAATAAAAGATGCTCCATCACCTCCTACATATCTAGTCATGTAAATAGATGTGCTTATTTAATGGCTCAATAATATTTTTAAATTTTGATCTCATACCTGTCAAGAATAAAATTATTTACCTGCACAAATGAAAGCTTTAAAAACTTTTCTTTTTCTTCCCTAAGCAGTCTTATAATTATAATTTATTTTTTAATCAATAATGGATAATATGAGAGACTGCATTCAAGCCCCGTGAAGGAAATAGTGGAATAATAAGATGTGTTAAGACAATTGTCCGGTCTTTTCATTTCAAGCCAAAAACATCTGAAGACTATTTCCTTCACATAAATACTCACTTTTAGTTTGGTTTGTGATTTTTAAAGAAAAAAAAAAGATGGTCACTTCTTTTAGATTTATGATTTTTGGGGAGGGGCCCGTTTATTATTTTTTCCTGGATTTTAATGTTTGTTTTCAGAACTGGGCTACGGCTGTTAGATGTTAAAAAGATTTTATAGGTGATGTCTATGCTAGCACTCCAGCTCAAAATTAGAAGAAAAAAAAACACCAACATGATCTTTCTATTTATCAAAGGAGGAAAGTTAGGGATTTTTTTTGTAATTTATTTTCCATTATTTACCCTGGCAATTTATTTCAAAAACTTTACATATCACTATTTTAAGCCTTAAATTAAGGACAAACGTTTACCAATTGACAGGTATGTGGTCTTCTTATAAATATCACCTGAACTGGTAGTGTATTTTTTTGTTATTGTTATTGTTCAGTGTTTGTGCATTGTTTCACTGTGAGCTTTGACTTTTTCTCCAAAAATTAAAAATGATTCTACCTTTAGTAAAATATTTTTAAAAATTGTACAATATGTCAAGAATAGATGTTCTCTGCATGCAATGTTGTGCTGCTTCTAATGTGTAAGATGCTTAAAATTGTTTCAAAACAAACCAAAACACCATCTTGAACACTATTATTTTTCCTGAATAGAACATGTACAATAGTACAATGCAAGTACAAGAAGTCAACGCAACTTTCAAACTTCCTAATTAGTTTTGTTTCTCTCCTTGAAAAGTCATTTTTCTGTAACCTAATTAAAAGGTCAAGGCTCACAAAATGTTACAGGGGTAATTCAACTCTGATTACAGCATTTATAAAATTTCTTTATCTGTTTACTTTCTCTTTCAAGTTTATTTTCATTAGGAATTTATATAAATTTGACATCATATTCATTATAACATCCCTCACTTGTGTTTTAAGACTACTCAGAAGTTATTAAAGTTGAGCGGCAGTAAGCAAATTAATGGATAATAGTTTCTTTAAATACTCTTAATTGGAAAGTAGATTTAAAAGGAATATTTGGGGGCTAATAATGTTAAAAGTAATAAATTTCATTGGTGGGGTTGTTTTTTTTAAGGATATATTAAAACATTAAAACATTTGTTATGTGATATAATCAGCCAAATGACTTGTAGCACCATTGCCATTGTAGACAAACTGAAGATGAAGCTTTCTCAGGTATAACTTATTGAATTCATTCTAAAGAGCTCAGGTTCTCAAAAGTGTGTGCCGAAATGACAGAAAATAAATAGCTACACTTAAAAATGTATGTTTATGATTATTGTTATTTGCTGTGCGGTCAAAGAAAGATTATTATTATGATTAACATAACGTAATAGTATTTGGAAATACATTTTCATGGGAAGATAAAACTTGTTTTACCAGTGAGCTAGTTCCAGTCATCTCCATATTTGATTGACAATATTATAGAATTTTTCTTTGTAAGGGTTTGGGCAAAAATGTCTGCAAGAGTTATAATTCCATTTTCACAAAATCAGGATTAGGTACCTTTCTTTTTATTATCATAAAACAAAATATATGGTTAGAGATATATTATAAATAGCTAGTAAAACATGAGTCAGGAACTTAATTCTTTATTCCTAAATTTTTAAATGTTTTCAGAGAAAACAACATAATGACACTTACCATATTTATAATGTAACTGCACTTTTGGGGATGAAAAAAAAATGCGATAAGACTCTTTGCTAATGACCCAAAGGAGGTTTGTAAATCCCAACAGTAAATCTCATCTTTTATACTCTTGGTGTGTAAGATTAAAATTAATTTCATTTTACTTTATGTTATCTACTTCAATATTTCAAAATCATATATTTTTTTTTAATAGGTTAAAAATAATTTCTTGTGACATTGTTATCGATGCCTTTTTGGTTACTTTTACTTGAATAACTTTTTAAATAACTTTTTCTCTCCAATTGCAATGTTGCAGCATCTATGGCGATGCTTGATGTCATTCTTATAACACTGTAATTTACTTTCTTAACAGAACAAAACTAACATACAACTCATGTACATTATTACCAGGTGTGTAGTTTAGACATTACCATCGCATAATTATTTTTTTTAATGCAGCAGAACTTAAAAAACAATAAATTATTTGACGTTATTTCTTCTGTATTTGTATTGATTGTGTAGATAAATTTGGTTGTTTGAATGAACTATAACTTTAGTTGTTGGTTGTAGGAAAAATTACAGACATTACTGATGTAACACTCAAATATGTATTTAATACAAATACATAAAAAGTATGATGGTTTCATAAAAATGATTAAATATAACAGATCACGAAACAAATAAAATAAAAAATACAGCAGAGATAATAAATAATTCATGTTTGTTATATGGACAAACTTTTTACAACAATAAGAGCATCCATCGTTTCTGAAGAACTGACCATTTATGTACATTGCAACAACTCGCCATTTTTGTTCACAGGGCTGTTAGGTCAAATGCTGCTGTAGACCACCAAATAGTTACATCTTGACTGACCAGGTCATTGACATGTCTCCCTTGGGTCATAATGAGTACGCTATTTTGACTCGCTGGATAACATATGCCAACAAGTTCGTTTAAACCGAGTTATTGTTTTAGCCTAGACCCTTTAAAGCACATGGTTACCTATTTGTCCCAATGTATTACTCTTCTTAGATTGAGTAGTTATCACCCGTTTTAAACCAAACAAGTAAAGGACCTATCCAAGCCAATAGTGCATTTTAGATGAGACAACCATCTGTGCACTGAATCCAAAGATTACTGCTAGAACTGCCCAAAATGTATTGTATTTCCTTTGATTTACAACTGTGGATAAGAGAATGGATATAAAAGTGATAGAATTTATACTTTTTATTGGGATTGGATCATAGGCAAAATAGGCTCAGTATGGTCTTGCCCTCACTATCTCTAACAGAGATATAATAATTGTGTTTTGTGTCTCTAAGACTTAAGACTAAGAGAGATATAATAATTGTGTTTTGTGTCTTTAAGACTAAGAGAGATAAAATAATTGTGTTTTGTGTCTAAGAGAGATAAAATAATTGTGTTTTGTGTCTCTAAGACTAAGAGAGATATCATAATTGTGCTTTGGTTTGGGTCTCTAAGACTAAGAGAGATGTAATAATTGTGTTTTGGGTCTCTAAGACTAAGAGAGATATAATAATTGTGTTTTGGATCTCTAAGACTAAGAGAGATATAATAATTGTGTTTTTAAGAGAAATAATAATCATGTCAGGTTCATCAAAACACTTCTTAGAACTACAAAAGGTTCAAAACACTGCTGCTAGGCTAGTTCTAAAAGCAAAAAAACGTGATCACGTCACACCACTACTTCATTGGCTCCCTGTACAAGTACAAAGGCTCTTTTCTCTGCCACAATTTTTTCTCAAATTCCTGCCCTTCCTATCTAACCAAACTTCTTTCTGTCTATTCACCCCTTCGACAGCTTCACTCCTCCGTAGACACGCATATTCTTTCTGTCCCCAAGACTCGCACAAAAACATAAGGTGAACGATCTTTCTTTTTCTGTGCCCCCAAACAATGGAATTCTCTTCCACTACACATTCGCAATATACCGACCATTACAGCTTTCAAAACTGCACTCAAAACACATCTTTTTAAACGCTAATATCCTGACTGATTCCCCCCTTTGACCGATAAACGATATTAATGGGTGCCGTCCATGGCTTGACATGTAAATAGTTCTGGAATTGATGTAGTTAATATACATGAGTTTTGTTTTATTTAATTAATGTATGTTAATTTTTAAGTTCATTTTTATTAAATTGTATGTACAATATGGTGAGCCCAGGCGTAGGCTGGGGTACCAAGCTATATAAAACCTCTAATAATAATATAATAATTGGGTTGTGTGTTTCTAAGAGAGATTTAAGAATTGTCTTTTGTAAAGAGCTCTTTATGTCATGCAAACAAACATCAATAGAATGATTTAACATTTTACATTTACACCAACTAAGTGTTATCCAATTCAATTTCAAGTTCTGGAATCACCATTAAGTTTTATCAGGATTAATTTATAAATATTTTATGACTCCTAAACCTATCACATGATTCTGAGATATGATGGTTGTCGGAATTTCTTTAATGAAACTGAAAGGCCATTTCAGAAATGAAAATAAATTTTGCTCAACTTCATATCAATAGGTTTTGATTTCCTTACCTCGCAATGCCTGAATTGTAGACAGGCAAACAAAGCCCTGGGTAAGATGTATATAAACATTTCTATAAAGTTGGCCCCAAAGTAAGGCTGGAATGGCTAAAACATGACCAAGGCTGGCAATGATGACTGCTTTGAAAATCAGAGATGGGCTAAAATGGAAATTTTTTTAATTTGACTTAGTCACCAAATGATAATTTTGCATCTGAGGCCCATGCCCCAACCTTTTGTTTTGCCACAGAGCTCCAACATTGATTCCTTCATCTCGGAAACAGTATGATGGTAATAATGAAGGTTAAAACTTAGCACATACAATGCATCTTTTCTATACCCCTGCCAACCATAGGAGGAGAGACTGATAAATTGATTGTGGGCCTTTAATATATAGGAGAAGACTGAATATAGCCCCTACTTTTTTTGCTCCTACCAAATCTAAGTATATTCTGGCTGTGATTCAAGTTAGGGATTCTACATGTGACTTTGAGTCACTAAGATATTAGTCTGGTCTGATCAATGGCAAGATAAAAACACCAAAAGATATGAATAAAAAACAGGTATAAATTTTAAATTGAGTTGGTTTAGCAATGATAAGCTAAAAAAAATCACCACAAAAGTTACATGCAAAATGACATAACAATGCACAATGAGCAATAGTACTGTCTGTAAAAATCAAATAAATTTAAGCCATCGGTCTTTACAAGCTATAAATAGGGGTATAGAAACAGATTTAACATTTCAAACATATAATTAAATAATTACCTAAAATGTTTGAGATCCCCTTGTGTACAAAAATGTTTCAAGGCATAAACTGAAAGCACCACCACTGTCAGGACTAGCAGTTCTAGATTTAAAAAGAAATTTTTTTTAAGTTACTTCAACTCAGCTAATATTGGTAACTAATATTATGCTCCTCCAAAACTGAGTTTAAAAGCTAAATCTAGATGCACATTGTTTTAAGCTTTCACCGAATAGCTACTTTATCTCTTATAAGTTAAGATATTTATTGATTTACCTGTGGCAGCAATAATAAAGTTGAGATAGAGCTCAAGCCCCAAATAAGTGTAGTTGACATATTCAGATCCAGAAGATGGTTGACTGTTGGTTAGCTCCACCCTCTGGAGCACTAATTTGCTAAAGGCGTCACAAATCCAAAACAAAAAAGCTAGTCTCCAGTGAGCCTGCAATAAAGATTAACCATGTTGTAAAGCCTTCAATAAAGATTACCCATGTTGTAAAGCCTTCAATAAAGATTACCCATGTTGTAAAGCCTGCAATAAAGAATGCCCATGTTGTAAAGCCTTCAATAAAGATTACCCATGTTGTAAAGCCTTCAATAAAGATTGCCCATGTTGTAAAGCCTTCAATAAAGATTACCCATGTTGTAAAGCCTGCAATAAAGATTACCCATGTTGTAAAGCCTTCAATAAAGAATGCCCATGCTGTTAAGCACAATGAGAATATTAAGAATCAAAAAAGAGAAAACCTGAACAAGGATTCAAGAGAAAATGGCAGCACAGTGCCAATAATTAGACAAGTTGATGATGTGAACAACATAATGTGGGGGGAGACTGTAATTAAGTTATTAAACAGAAATAAAGAACATGAGATAAGGCAGTTCCATCTCAGACTATGCACAGCTTCCAGCCCTATGAACTCGGTTTATTTTAATTTCCATTTTTCTTGTTTTAAGTTTTGATGAAGAAACTCCAAAGTACATTACTTTGAAGTATCTGTTTAATAATTTTTGTGCTCCTTAATTCCTTGCTTATGTAAAGGTAACCCAACTTGTTAAAAGTAACAATAAACACTTACGTCAAACTGTGTATTTAAAAGTAGATGTCTGTAAGCTTGGGGCTGTAATAGTAATGCATCAAGAAGGATGATGATTGGCTCATATTCTATGTACTTATCAGCTACAGATTGGCAGGACTCCTACGAAAAAAAACATAAGTTTATTCATAATGTATTTCATTCAACACAGAATCTTGTGAATAAGTCCATTTATGAATATTATCATAAGACTATCAAAATAAAAGACTAACTAATTATCTTACATACTTAACTAATAATCTGGATCACTGGGTGGTGGAGTCAGTAAGATATAAGACAAAAGGGTCGTAACTCTGTCTCAAAACACAAAGTTGTTTTTTAAATGTGCAGAGTGATCACACACCAGCTTTGTGATTAACTTTGGATTAAATCACTAAAGATAATTCATAGTTTTGGAAGCTAAGGGATAATTAAAGCAGGCATAAGTCCCATACCAAGACAAGTTTTCCACAATAAATGGGATAGGAAATAATTATGTTTTTATTTTTTTAGACACATTTCTTTATTTTTATTTCTGTGTTGGATTAACATTTGCTGCCAGACTGGGATAATGTCTTCTGTTGTCAGTGGTTGAGGATTTTCGCAAAAAGAATGCAGTTAAATGTAGTTGTTAAAATTAACAATTTAAAAGACTGAAGGATGACAATATTTTGTTTCAAATTGCACATTTTGTTGGTTGCACCTTTAAATCACTTTTTTGTTGGGATATTAATAATTTTTGGCGGCCAACAGGTTATTGGTTTTAGATATCTGGTTTTAAACCAGTTTTTACAATGCTCTGACTGATCTACATAAAACAGAAAACTCTTCTGTCCTTAATGTGATTTTTTTTAAACAAATATTATGATGCTAATTTGGATGAATATATAATTTTTAAAATTATTTATTTAGACATGATATCAGATGCACTTATCTTTTGTTAAATATTTTTTTTTAATTTTGTATTTCATAGTCTTAACTGATCTGGTTAAAACACATGGTTAACCAGGAAATAGTGTCTAAAAACCAGTATTGAACTGGTAAAAGAAGTTTGAATTGTCTGCTTGCAGATTATGTCTTTAATCTACCATACTTTAAGCTTTATCATAGTGACACCCTCTCTTTTTTTATATTTTCCCAAAAAGAAACACTTGATAAAAGTTGATTGGAAATTAAATTTAAAAATTACTTAAAAATCAAGAATATTTGTAAGTTATTAAAATTAAGAAATTCAAGCAGATGACATCATTTTCATAGCTTCAAAAGTAAATTATAAGTAACATACACAATGATGAATCTTGATAATGTTGGCTTTGTAGTCACGATACAGACTTTCCACACTGGAACCACATTCAATACACTTGTATTTCATCTTCTTTGAGCCCATTATTTCATCTCAGACAATTTTCTTTCTTGCAAGGGAGACTCTATCCTGCAAATATAATTAACTCCCTATATTATTTTCAAATAAAATTATCCATTGGGGAAGTGGAGAAAAGGTTGTTTTTTTTTTCAAAAATAAATGATATAGATCACAGGTTCTTAAACTGGGCTGTAATGCCTGTCCCATTGGGGGAAGATTTTCACCTTTAGCAAATGCAGAGGGCAAAGGAGTGAAGGTTGACTACTCGGATTGCATTTTTTTAATAAAAAATTATGGCTTATATGAAAATGCCTTTTTTAAATTATTCTACAACTATTGCTGCCATTGTTAATTGTTCTTGTCTTTAAAGATAAAATCAGTTTTTATGCACTCTAAATAGCAGCAGTAAAAAAAATTATGGCGAATTTTGTTTGCGCATCACTTGTATTGGTAAATTTTTTCTTGTATCTAGAAAGTTACATAAACAAATGACACGACAATAAATAAATAATTTCATTATTTTAATTTTTTAAATTTCATTACTTGCGGAAATGTTCAGAAGTTGAGAGGGGATGCAGCACTGCACAAAGTTTAAGAATCTTTGGCCTAGTAAATTTACTAAAATCACTCCCCACCCAGTCCAAGATTTTTCGTTCCATCTCAATATCTTCAAAACCCCAGTTCATGATACCATTGCTGAGTAGCCCTTGCACCAGTGAAATATCCTAGTCAATACCAGGCACAGAAACATTGAAAATTCTTCTACATACATGGTAGCCAGAATGATCAAATCATTGTTCATGGGCCCTTAATATGTAAAAAAAGAAGAAGACTTCCCCTTGAAGTCCCTTGTCCCATCTCCACATTTCAATATAAATTCTCTCGACTGTCGATGTAACTACGCCTCGAGTCCCCTCCTACGTCGTGGCCTGCTTTTTGATCAGATGCCACTTCTAGGACCTCGCATGGCATACCTGAACTGATTCACCCAGTGATCGCAGTTTTAACATAACCCGATGACCCCAGCAAATAATTATAATTGTTGTATTAAAGGAATGATGTTAAAATATCTGTATTTTAATATTATGAAGTGCAATTTTTTTTCAAGAATGTTCCACATTTAATGTGACATCACAATGCTTTACCCCCCACCCCCTTCTTTCGTCACAAGAATATGACCACCACCACCCACCACCACCCACCCCCCACCCAGCCCCTTAGTTGCGTGAAGTCAATTATGGATGGACCCTAACCGTTTCCATTTTAAGGTATACTTTTAAAAATTATTAATTAATATTATTAGGCTACTTAATAGTTTTTTGCATTTTACTTTGAGTAGAATATTATTTATAGGCTATAACTAAACTTTAATCTGTATGTATAGTATTAGAGTTTGGTGAGTGAAAAACGTAAGGTCGTAAATTTGGCTTACTTACTTTAGACACTTACTTGTTACAATTCAATATTGGTACTCCGTAACTCAGTAACTACTCAGTACTGTAGTGACTGTTGTTGTAGTAAGGAAATGGACTGAATAAAAATTAAATTAATTAAGTAAAAATGAGGCCCGAGACTTAGGCTAAAAATAGCAAATAATTTTTAATAATATTAAATTAATCATTAGCCTAATTGGTGAGTAAATTTACTATTCACTGTAGTCTAGTGGTAGTGTAGCTGTAAAGTGTATTGTATTGTATAATAGTATAAATATACCTAGACCTAAGCACTAAGCGGCTAATCACTGCAAGAGTTGTAGACTACTGTGCAAAGTGAAGATAGAGTCAGCTGCGTCGCTCCTGCTGAGTGGAGGAGAAATTCGGATAATAGGGAAATGTGCACTGTGTATGGGGTGGGGTGGGGGGCTTAGAAAACATCTCTCGGTTGTTCTCAAACTTACATTTAATTTTGGACAACCCTTTACTTTACTTACAAAAAGAATTTTAACCTGTCATACTATTTACCGAAAGAAACCGATAACTGATATATAAATGTATTAACTGTTGTATATTACCTGTCAACGAGAAATAGGCCTACAGGCTACATTAAGTATGAAGTATGCCTATTCTTTTAACTCCAGAAACAAAATGCATGCAATTGCAGACTGCACACCAACCCGTACATTTTATGTGTGTACATTATTTTGAAGATTAATAATAATATATTAAAGAAAAATAGAATTGTTGAAGTGGCCGAATTTTTACTGGGTGGTCTAAAGCAGGCCTGCACAACTCAAAATGTAAGGCGGCCGTAATACATTATGAAAGCACTTGTGGGGGCCAAAAGAAAATAGGACATGACTTGTGCGGGCCAAGAGAATATAGGTCAGGGGGAAAGCTATTAAGAAAATAATAAGAATAAAGAGTTTTTCGTTACCTCGCGGGCCACAAAGTGGGTGCTGGCGGGCCACATGAGGCCCGCGGGCCGTATGTTGCCCAGGCCTGGTCTAAAGTAAAGTCAATCCCAAGCATGTAGACAAGTATAAACAACACCATCAAACTATGAAATCGAATCCGGAGATGGAGTCCTTTATGTGGTATGACACTGACAAATTGAAAATTACAACTCTTCTGACGTGGAACGCATAGAGAGCACAGTGATACACACACAAACACTGCTGGCCTGCTGGTCATCTACTGGCCTATATCCATTGTCTTGACTTAGTCTTGATGCTAAGCCATTGGATCAATTAGAAAAGGGGGGGGGGGGGGGGGGGGGGGGGCGAGGCTGACGAATTAAGCAATTGCAATTTGCTCTCACTTTAAACAAAATACAGCTCAAGTCAAGGCCACTACTCACAATTTAGCCTTGGCGATCTTCGCAAACGAAGGACGAACAATAACAATATACACCCCACAAAATGAAATGAACTGCCTGGCTTTGTTATTTTCCTAGAGAGACCTCTGCCGTCTTGCTTTAAATTGAATGTAGCACAAAGCTGTATTCCATCACTGATGGCACATATCCTATGCAGAAGTGACGCAGTGTGGTCTTGCCACTGTCTCTTTAGGTAATGTTCGGCCTTTTAACGAGGGTTAGACTTCTTGTTGACTTTTCTTTCAAATTTGAAATTATTATTTTTTTAAATTAAGTTGCGTATCTAACTGGACATCTCGATATTTTGGGTTGTGTCCCCTTTTTTCTTTTTTTTTTCAGTATATTGCCTTGTAGGGACAGTGCTAGGCATACATTCTGTAATTTTTTCTTGGGCCTTTTGGTCACACTCTGTCTTTTTGTTTGCATGGTTGATTGAGGCAAAGTTTTTGTAAAAGATTTCTACTTTCCTTTGATCGTCCCCTATTTATTTATTCTTTTTCATGGTACATTGGCTTTGGGTTGTATTTCCACCTTTCACCATAGAGGTTACTTAATATAAGGGAACATGCTCCATGCGGTTGGTTATGTCCATTTATTTCTCTTGGCTGTTTAGGTAGATATTTTCGCATTCGCTATGGTCTGCTTTAGAAATACAGTTAATAATGTAGGTGATTGTATGCCCCTACAGTTATGGACACTTTGAATCGTAATGAGTATACCCTGTGATCTCGCACAAACGTTGATTTGAAAGATATTTAAATGTGTGTTTGTCACAGTAGCGGATTTTTCGAAGCCTGCCCTGGGTGCTGAAAAGCAACCCGGGCCTTAACAGACGAGGCGACGCCCGAGCTCGGATGTATTTATTTGATTCTTTTAACCATAAAGTCCACAACGTCTAGGGAGATTTAAAAAAGTCTGCTGGAGTCATCGGGTGAAGTTATTTCATCGAGTGATCACGATCAATAATACATCTAGATCTAAATTCGTATCATGCCAAAGTTTTCATTTACGAAAGAAATCAATGACTTGTACTAATGGCGGAAACGGAAGATCGTAATATCATCCTTAAAATTCCACATATCTATATTTTTATAATAATGTAACTTATAGATGCAGTGTTTCTTTCAGACAACTTCCTC